CTGAGGTTCTTGGAGCTGTCTTGTCCAGTTGTCTGATATCTCAAGTTATGCAGGAATGCACATCCACCAATTTCGCCTCCTATTTGAGAGGTGTCAACACAATTTTAACCTCTAGAGCACGAAAAATTCTTCCCATTACACCAACGTTTGTACAAAATTCAAAACCAAGATGGCGAGTCTCCTGCCCAGACGCAGGCTTTCCGTTTTCTATGACAAATATTATTAAATACAGTATAGGCCATCTATTTACCTATAAATTAACGTATTTCCGGAAAATATATACGGTATTTTCCACAGATACAATGGCATGCAGGCTTGTACAGGTAACTTATATAAACTCGCTGTTAATCTTTTTTGAACGTTAAGAAGATTATTGGGAAGAATGCTTCAGATTCGTTCAGTAAGGCTATAACTTTTTTTTTTTACTTTGTGCAACACTGGCTCGACAGAATTGTATGAGGATTTCAGACAGTTGAACAATAGGACTTTTTAGTTTCATTGCTGACGAAAATGTGAGATATGTTGGGAGTGCTGTGAAGATGCTTATTAAGGACCCTGTCATCCAATTTTTTGCGCGCTTTAAAAAATCGAAAAATTATGGAAATTGAGTTATTCATATAGAAAAATATCTTAACTCTTTGACAACACAATGGTACAATAATCAATGTTAAGACTCAATACTAAGTAAGTAAGTAAGTTTATTCAGGTATACACAAATACAGTTACATAGAATTATCTTACATAGCAGCATATGTGTAGAGAACCTGGGATAACCCAAAAAAGTCAGAGTGACTTATTTCCATTGGGGTCCTTTAATGTTCTACGACGTTTCTATAAGAAATTATAGTCATTTATATCAGGTATGGTGATGGTGCCTGCACTCTGAAGGAGGGGTGTTAATGTTGCAGTTTAAAAACTGTAGTGTAAAGCACCCTTCTGGCAAGACAGTGATGGAGTGAATGATGGTGAAAGTTTTTCTTTTTCGGGCCACCCTGCCCTGGTGGGAATCGGCCAGTGTGATAATAAAAAAAAATGGTGACGGCGATGTGGGTAGCGCGTCTGCTCACAGCCCATATATTTTTTGGAATTTTTTCCTTGTTTTTATCGCTTTTTCTTGCATTATTCTAATATAATAATTGACTAGTTGGCATCATAAAACAGTAAGCGGAGCTTATATGTAGACTTTCAGCCAATCAGGAGCCATCTGGGAACACTGGCATTATTCCCGCTCCAGAGAACCAGGAGAAATCACGTCATTATTTTACGCTTATATCAACTCTACGGCTTATTTATCTATCAAAATTGATCTAATATGATATAATAAACACTATAAATAACATACAAACATGTTATATACTCTAGACTGAATAAAATAGGCAATAATATAACGAGAGTCCACCAGCAATATTTCGATATAAAATAATTACTCGTCTTCATGTATTCTTTGGTCTTTGAGTAAGAGACCCCTCAAGGAAGGTTCCTTGATGTTGGTGAGGGGCTCTTGATTTAGGGAATTGGATCTGTGCTCCAGTTCCCCGAATTAAGCCTGAATGCCTTCCACATCCCCCCCCCAGGCGCTGTATAATCCTCCGGGTTTAGCGCTACCCCCTTGATTATAATAATAATAATAATTTGAGTAAGAGAAAACGGTATTTTGAAGAGGATAACTGCTCTAGAACACCAGTTTACTAAGATTAGATTTAGATTTTGCCACCGAAGTGGCTAGTTTATTGTGCACCCCATATCCATCCTGTGGACGGTAGCGCGAGAGCATATGGATACACAAAAGGCCTAGGAACTAGGCCCCAAAGAGTTAACAGGAATACATATGGATTTATATCTACATATCTATAGTTCACTTATCTGTTACAAGCAAATTTAGGAAATTTGCTTAGTATATCTGGTATCTTATTTTCATTAATAAGATATCTTGACATGTCACATAGGTTATTATACTGTCTGTCTCTGTATTCCTCAATAAGTGGACAATTAAGCACATAGTGTTCAAGACAGTGACCATATGCCTGATCACATAATTTACATTTAGTTTGATCATCATCTGTGTGTCTCCCAAACTGCCAGAAGTACTTGTAACCAAGCCTAAGCCTGGCCACTACAACATCAGTCAGTCTGTTCACATTGCAAGTTGCTCCATAAACATACTTATCTACGTTCATGTTATCATAGTGGGTTATAGATCTACTCAGGCTTCTAACTGCATTCCTATAACAATCATTTTCATTATTTACTTCTCTCCTAATATTATTCCTAATGCTAGACACAGTTATACCAAAGTTATATTCCTCGATACTCTTCTTGGCTAACATATCAACTTTATCATGAAGGAGTAATCCAGTGTGTGATGGGATCCATAGCAATTGTACATTAATTCCTTTGTCCCTAATTTTTGAGTATCTATACCTGGCTTCCCAATGAGCATGTTGTTGGAGTCATTTATATGAGCCAAGAGCCTTCAATGATGACATAGAATCAGTAATGA